AACGGCTTGAATAGGAATGGAACGTTAGTTGTAAATCGCAGTTCCTTTATGATTATTATTACGTAACCATGGAGTTCTTGTGTAATACATATAGCCTTTTCTGTCACTTATTAAAAACGTTACTTAATGACCACCTGATACTGAAACCCTTCACCACATTATTGGCGGCACTATTAATGCTCGTTACATCACGACTAAGCCAGCAATCAATCAACATCAGAGATCAGTATAATAATTTCCCATGCATGTCAATGTCCAGCTGTCCCCAACTGACCTTTTTTTTTTTACATAACACACATTTTGGCTTTGGCAGGAGAAGCTTAATTTCCTCACACTGTGTTTCATAAACCACATCATAAACGCCTCATTTTTTTTGTTTTTTTACAGGGAGACGACTGTCAGTTGGGTTGAGAGCTAAAGATGTGGCTATTGTCTCCCAGATTAAAGATTCAACAACAGTAAGCTGCAGCTACTTTTTTTTTAAGTGTCCGTCTTTCATGATGTTGGAAAAAAATTAAAAAGTCGGACATTGATAAATGACATTTTAAAAAAAAACAACAACATGGTTTCACAATTTAACAATGCATTTAGGGATCATTCTATGACGGTAAAAAAAAAAAAAAAATCTTTTAATGGAAACAGAATGTGTTACTAAGAGAGTCAACTCACAGGGAGACCCCATATGAGAAATGCTTTCTTTTTTACCCACATAAGGGTGAATGGTCATGCTTGTAAATATTTTTTTTTTTTAACGAATAAAACAGCCCTTTATTGTTAAGATTTATGTTATTAACTGTTATTGTGTTTTGGATGAATTATTTGTTGAAAAATTAAATCTTTCAAAACTCCAGCTTGCAGAACAAATTTATATAATTTTTTCTGATTGTGTACAAATGAACCTCAAAAACCTCAGTTGCCAATTTACCTGCAGATCCTCGGATACGATTTTAGGGTTGTTGGAGGAAATCTATTTCATCAAACAGTCTGCTCTTTGGGCTGAATTTGCTTTGTTCAAAGAAAACGGCAGACCTTAGATATCAGAGGTTTCAGTTAGATAGGTTCCACCTGTCAGGAGGTTTTAATCGTCGGCATGTTCTCTGGAATTTTATCTCTATGAGTTTGACTGTGTAATAAATGTAGGGTTGGTCTTTTCATGTTGTTGATCAGTTTTTTGTTTTGTTTTTCTGTTTTTTCTTCAATTATGAAAATGACGACAAAATATGCTTACTTGTTTAAACATGTTGGAAAAGCCAACAATTTCCACACTTCATTAGCGTACAGTAAGCAGTTGTGTATTGCTGTGCACATTTTTGCAGACATGTGTTACAGGAGTAAATGCCCATTTGTTTCATTGTACAAACAGTTTTTTATTAACAGACATGAGCGTGATGACATACTGTGCTGTGTGATATCTCCTATTTTGAACAGATGGACTTCTTGTCTGTGCACCTTGAATATAACTGTGCCTTCTCGTCAAACTTTGCAAAGGAGCTGAGGAGCTTACAGGTACACTATGCATGTTAACGATGATGTTTGTTTGTTTTTACTTTGCATTTCATGTTTGACATTGCTGTTATAACACATCCACATGCAACTGTGTTATAGATTTCCATTGGGAACTTGCCTATCTTGCTGTACAAGATAAACATCCATGATTGTTCCAACAGTCAATACCAGCTTCTTGGAGATTTTCTACATGGTAAATATCATTACCACTCATTTAATACTACGCAGTTGTTTAATTATGTAAATATAACAGATGTATTTAGCATATACCAGTAACATGCAGAACTGAACATTCTTTGGAACGTGTGTTGAAGGACATAAACAACTGTTCTTTCAGGTATTTTTCCTTTCTGATATGTAAAAATTTCCCTATAGGACAACATCACCTATCTATTCTTTGATCAGATTAAACTACATTTTATGCCTGATAAACAAGTTAAATCAGGAGCATACCAATCTGGAGTTGTGATATCACAGAATATTGTGTCAGGTGTTATAAAAAACAAGGTCGTTCATTGTGCTGAAACAGGAAAGTCTGTTATGAAATTTCAAATCAATGTTAACTCTGTTTATAATTAATACAACTATCTAAAGACATTAAGAAACATTAGAACAATGATAAACCCAATCTCAACCTATCCTGAGCTTTTAATGACCAGCTTATAACAGACTATCAACCTTTTAAATCAAGTTGCAAATTGCAATATCATAAACTTTTACAAGACCATAATCATAAAATTCTTAGAATTGTTATCATATGGCAATGATGACTATAAATACTTATTGCTGTGGTTCAGTACAGTTATACAAGCAAAATCACATGTATTGTTGAGTAAAGGCTTAGGACTTGGTTTTTACAATCTGTTCAGGAGTCTAAACATTTAAAAAATATAAAATAAAAAAAGAACATTTAAACAGTCATTACAGCTGAACTGTGGTAAGGAAAAGTCAAAAGCAGATGTCCTGGATGAAGATTAATTAGTTTGCAGATTTTAGTTGAGACAGTTATAAAAGAATGTATTCTTAAATGTCTCCAAATTTCAATACTGTCAGTCATGGAACAGTTGGTAACTCTGTCTTGAACACATGACAGTGCTGAAGAACAATGGCCTGAATATTGTGGGATGTGACGTGGAAAATATGTTAGGAAAGCTGGAGATGCAGAATGTACCAGTCAGGTAAGAGTTTGTGTCACTGATTCCTAAGTATTGAAAGTGTTTTGTTTTTTTTTACTGTTGGTTTGTTTGTTTGTTTTAATGTTCTCTCATCTCTTTTCCAAAAGCCATGATAATTCGGAATTCACCAAGATACCAGCATTCGAAAGCAATTATCAGAATGTCTGGCAGAAGTTTGGGGCTCCGACTACTACTGAACGAGACGCCTTCCTGAAGGCATCCTTCCCCTCTGGATTCCAGTGGGCCACCTCCAGTGAGTCCTTCAAGGTTGAAGGAGGCTGGTTAGAAGGCGGAAAGGGAGAAACCATTTGGGACCGTTTTGGTCATCAAAACCAAGTCTTTGATAATCAGACCGCTGACTTAGCATGTGACAGTTACAACAAGGTGGATTACGATGTCTACCTCCTGCGAGGTCTTCAAGTCAACACCTACCAGTTTTCCATCTCCTGGGCCCGTATTTTCCCCTCAGGTCACCGTAGCAGCCTATCAGAGAAAGGGGCTCTCTA